GTATTGTTTTTAATGGGTTAAAAAGAAAATAGAAATTTTTATTAAAAAGAGAAAAAATATAATATTAAAAAAATCTAATTAAATATAAAAGCTAAAGTGAGAAGGGGAGGAAGCACCTTATTAAGGCTGATTACAGTTAACTATTTTTTTTTTCTAATGTTGCTTTAACAGACATCATATGCAGATCAATGGTCACCCCTTTGACCGTAAGGTGAATGAAAACAGAGTACTGTAAATACGTTGTAACAATTAATGTTTTTACATGATAATTCCCAATGGAACTTCTGAACAGTGTTTTGAACACTTTTCAAAAGCCTTGCTTTATACAGCTGTCAACAGCTGTCATACAAAGCAAGTCCTGTAATACTTAAGTCTTTAACTGATTAATTGCATCTTACATGTATTCCAGTCTGTAAGCCTCACCTGTTCTTTAAGGAGTTGTTCACAGGCTTCATGTAACGTCCCTGTTTTTGTGGACACAAACAAGTACTGTTTCTGAAGAGACTCCAAATGCTGCAGAGCAAGATTTACATCATTCAGTATAGAATCACATTGGTCCTGGAACCCAGAAAGGTAATCTCTCATCTCTCTACAGAAAAAAAAAAATATATATATTACCAAGGAATGTAAAGACTTTACCAAGTTTACTTTTCTTAAAATACTTAACACTCACAGATTTGGTCTATCTGTGGTCCTTTAAATGGGTACACTCAGCAAAAAAGAAATAAGTAATTTCTCTAAAGGTCATTTGTGCCGTCTATGTGAAAGAAAGTACTAAAGTGGGCAGCTGTTATTCTATCTGGATTATTAGACAAGTAGGAAGAGCAGTGATGATCTGCAAAATGCTATACCTTAGAGACAACCAATCAGAAATTAGCACTGACAAATATGAATAAAGTACAAACAAATCCAATTCATTGTTATAGGTCACTGCACTTTAGGCTGCCCCTGGAATACACCCTTATACTGTAATGTCATGTGGATATGATTGCCCTATTGCCTACAAATATGAAGGTGGTGGGGCATATGTCCCCATTACCAGCAGTACCCATTATGAAAACGTATTCATCAAGAGGTGGTCTGCTACAGTCTTAATCAATGTAGCTGTGAGACATTATCTACGGCTACTAAAATTTGAATTGCAGTTGTCCAGGTAAATAGAAGCGATGTAGAAAATGTTTTTTTGGTTTATTTTTTTTAAAGGAAACCTGCACAGAGAAAATGTTCTGATGGCCAGGTAATTTTAGAGTACTTTAACACTAATATTAAAACTGCCAAGTTTGTATATACCAGCAGTAATGTGATTAACCACTTCAGTACCAACATTTTAAACACCAAAAAAACTGTTTCCCTTACTTTCTGTTATAAATCATAACAAATAAAAATGTCAGTACATTATGAAACCCCCCAAAATGACCTCTTTTTGGAAAGCAGACACGCCAAGGTGGAAATGAAGAAACATGCCGGGAATTGAGGCGATCAAAACATGGAACTTGGTAATGGTGCACTAGATACAGTAATTGTACAGGATGTAGACAAGGGGTTAATGTACAGATGTGCAGGATAAGGGTGGTAAAGGGAACTCCTCAGAGCAGAGACCGAAGGAACCAACATAAGCAGGAGAGGAGGCGGTGAAAGGGCCAACAGTGATTTAAACTTTATTCGCTGCTGCTGCAGCTTGTTTTTACTAGGACGTTATGAATAGATGACTTTACCACGTGATAGCTATAATAACCAATGACTGCGATCACAGTCTTGAAGCCTCTGCTCTCCACTGTCGCCATTGTCAGCAGGCTTTGAGCTTGGACTGATGGCATCAGTTTGAAATACTTCTGAGACCATTTAGAATTCATTGACAGGTGCATTGGACCTGTAGCTGAACTCCTGACCTGCTTCAAGTAGGTTTTGCATTCCCTTAGACTTATAGGAGATGGCAAAACCAGGTTTATCTTTCAAAGTATGTTTAAAGTTTAAAGTGAACAAACTCTCATTGACACAGGCCCTAAATCGGATTAGAAACTGTAAAGAAAACTCTTGATAAAGCCAATGAAAGCAAACCTGTACCAGAAAATGACTGAGAATTGAAATAGAATCTGCCTGTTGGATGTGAACGGTTAAATCTTTTTAAATGAGAGCCATTATGTCATAAATATATTATATACTGCATATTTCAGAATGTTGACTCTTTACATATGGTATAATAAAGTAGCTGTACCTGTACTTTGCACCTTCATCCTGATCCATGTGTGTCTGCAACTGTGCAAACCAGGAGAAGAACTGAAATAGAGGAATAAATGTTATGATTTACATGAAGCAGGCTTTTAAAATATGATCTGTTTATTCATCATTCAATACTGGATCTAAAAATCATGTTGAAACACAAAACCAGGGCAGCCATCAGGGGGGTATGGCCGATACTCATGTAAGGGGCCCGGGCAGCCTAGGGGGCCCGCCCGGGTCCCTTACATGACTATCGGCTGACGGTGAAGGGCGAGGAGGCGGAGGCCTGGCCCTAGCAGCGCGGGGCCCCAGCATTGCCACTCAAGCGGCTTTGAGACAAGGTCCGGTCCGGCGGCAGACGAGGCCATGTGTGCAGGTAAGAGGAGCTAGGAAGGAAGGAAGGAAGGGAGGGAGGGATGCAGCCCTGACCAGCCCACCCGAGACCCCTTCAGAGCCCACCATAGACAGTCTCAGATGGGCTGCGCAGAATCTATGGTGGGCTCTGCAGGGTCACTCTAAGGTGGGTCCTGAGTCCAGCGCATCACTAAGCCCTGCGTCCAGCGGCGCTGGGGGGGGGGCCGGCCTAAAGCCGTGTAAGGGGCTCCTGTTGCAGGCAGGCGGAGCCTATATCTCGATGGCTGTCCTGGAAGATGACTGGGGAAATTTCTGATGGCTGCCCTGCACAAAACTATAACATACAAATGTCTTCTGACAGTGGCTTTTGGGTTTCTGAATGCTAGAGAGGACAATGTTTGGGAAGAACCATCAAGAATTTGTAAATGATAAGGTGTTCCCAGATCACAGACAAAAGCAGCAGTGTGGACTGTTGTGACTGGATGAAATCAAGTAGGCCGTGTTTCCTGCAAATGTTTTAAGGCTTGGATTTTAAATCATAGTGGAGCACACTTCTAAGTACAAAACACCTCTTTCATATAACCTGAAAGTGGAGTTGGCAAACATCTAAACATACCTGCTGCGCAGTTTCAATCCTGTCATCCTCCATTTCTAGTGCAGAAAATCCTTGCTGCAGGATGCCCTCTGTAGATTCTGGAACAGCTGCAGACAGTCCTACAATCAATGACGTGGAGGTCAGACTGCATAAATCTTCAATTGGAAGCTGTAAAAAGAATAGTAATGTAAACTTATTACTCCTGTTAAAACATTTTGCCTCTTTTTTTTTTTCCCAGAGACACCCTCATCAAATGGACATGTGGTGTTAGAGACAACAATACCGTTAAACTGTCTTTGCAATAGGCATTTCCTGACACCACTTTTACTCATCTTATCTATGCTTCCTTGCAGTTCTTTGCTTCCTTCCTGTTGGTAAGAATACCTGGCATGTCCAGGTATTGGGGAGTATTTGACCTGCATCCCTGTGACAGTGCCCAGCAGAAAACCAATAGGTCTGAGCACTGTCACATGGCTGGAGAAGTTACTCCCCTGACTTGCTGACAGCTTATTGCAGCGCTGGCTGCAGAGTTGCAAGAAACTTCAAGAAACACAGGCAAGGCAAGCATATGGGGCGAGGAGGATGCCCTCTGCAGATATGTCAGTTATCCCTGCATGGGCAAGGTGAAAAATGTCCCTTTAAATAACTGCACTTCCAGTACACTTAACCTTCTCAGGCCCCTTTTACCCATATATTTTTTTTAACTTGATTTACTCAAATGCATATTAAAAGGAAAACTATGACATGAGTGATTTCCACTCACCTCATAGTTCTAAGCCGACCTGTGACAATGAGACTGTCACAGGTCGGCTCAGTAGATCGGGAGGTGAGAGAACACATACCGGGTTCCCTCCCCTCTCGATCCTGTCACGGCTCTCTGCCGTGACAGGGGGAGGG